ATTATATTTAGCTAAATATTATTGCTGAGGGGAACAAGAAGGCCTCCTGACATACAGACAAAAATAAAAAAACTTAAAAACAACTAAAAATGGACTTCCGGTTATGGCGGCCATGTGAGAAGACGTGTCTTCACCGCTCTGCTGTTCCCGTTAAAGTATTTATCTAAAATTCCTTCCTTTCAAAAGGAACTAAACGTCCAGTGAGCGCGAGTATTTGAAACAATGCCTAAAGCAACGAAAGCACCCCAAGAAGTAAGTGAAAAGGCAAAACAACACAAGCTAACGGATTACCATCTTCGAGGTGAAATGCAGAAAGCTAATGCTAGCTCATGCTCGGCTCCAATGGCTGATGCAGACAGAGAAGAAAACCCGAAGTCTCAAAGCAGTAAGGTGGACGAAATACTGTCAGTCGTTAACTCGATGCATAAGGATTTCTCCTCTAGATTTGACGAAGTGCTGGGCTCCATTGACAGCGTAAGAAAAGAGATAAATGACTGTGTCCAGCGAGTCACGGAAGCCGAAACACGCATTTCTGTTGCGGAGGATGAGATAGAAACGCTACGAGCTAAAGTGGTCACGCTAGAATCCAAGAAGAAGGATTTGGAAGATAAAGTTACAGATCTGGAGGACAGATCGAGACAAAACAACTTGAGGCTCGTCGGCCTGCCGGAGGGGGCTGAAGGGCAGAATCCATGTGAGTTCCTGGAGAAGTGGTTGCCGGAGGCCCTCGGTGTTGGAGCGGTGACCGTGGAAAGAGCGCATCGGATTGGACCTCGGAGGGCCAGCGCCCCAGCGCCTCGCACCTTAATAATGAGGTTTCTTAGCTACAAGGATAAACAACTTACTGCTCAAGCATCACGGGCTAAATCAGACATCTGCTACCAGAATCATCAAGTCAGGTTTTACCCAGATATCGCGGCGGGTCTACTTCAGCTTCGGAAGCAGTTCGACCCGATACGCACGGAGTTACGAAAACTGGGACTGCGCCACGGGGTGGCACACCCAGCCAAGTTGCTGGTGACCTACCAAGACCGAACTCATGTTTTCAAAACAGCGGCGGATGCACGGGAGTTTCTAAAGAAGATCCAGAAGTAGACTGATGGGGAGATAACAATAGGTCAAACGCCCATACGGCTCCTTTAAATTAGCAACCTGTGTCTTCTTTGGCCTAGCTGTTTGCCCTTATTAGCAGTCAGTTGTATTGGAGGTGGAAAAGCAGTAGACTATTATGATCACTTTCAGCTAAGTTTAGTTAAGGCAATAGAAGAATGCATATACCGGTTGGTGTGCAAATTAAAATGTTCGAACCAGCGAGTAAACATGTGGAAGGTTAAATTATAGTTTAAACATAGTGAACAGTAACGGTAGTAAAAACTTTTGTTTTGGTTATTGAGTGGTTGGACTGCTCCTCACTGCGTGTGGGTCAGTCACACGTGATAACGGGAGGTATACGGAGGGGGGAGGGAGACCCTGGGATGGTGGACAGGGTGTGGGAAATTAGGTTCAAGGGATATGTTGAATGTTTTATTTTGTTGTTTAAGCTTCTCAAAGGTTCAAGTTCATATGGGGGACAATCTTTTTTTTTCTTTTTTGTTGTTTTTTTTTCTTTCTTTTTATACTTCTCCATTTCAGGTAAATTGGCAAGTCAGGCATGTCACAAGTTTTAAATCTTAAAATGGTTACATGGAACTGCAGGGGCCTACAACGTTTAAAGAAGGTCAAACAGGTCATTAACAAACTGCAAGACTTGGATTCCAGAATAGTATTTTTACAGGAGACGCATCTAATGGGGGAGGACGAGGTACGAGTCAGGAGGAGGTGGCGGGGCAGTGTATTCACCTCGGCGTTCTCTTCACGAGCAAGAGGAGTTATGACTCTTATTCATGAATCCGTCCCATTCCTAGTAAATAATGTCATTAGGGATAAGAAGGGTAGATATTTGATAATTCAAGGCTCATTACTTTCGGAAAAAATAAACCTGGTTAACATCTATGGTCCTAATACAGATGACTCTGGGTTCTTTCAGGACTTGTTCCTCTTACTCTCATCGCTACAGGGGCGCTCTGTGATCGCAGGTGATTTTAATTGTACTCTCAATCCAGAAATGGATAGATCCACAGGGTCAGACCTGACACATAATACTTGTAGAACAACAATACAGATGTTTATGAAAGATCTAGGACTGGTAGACGTCTTTAGGGAATTGCAGCAAAAAACCAGAGCCTACTCATGTTACTCAGCAACATTTCAAACCTATTCGCGAATAGATTATTTTTAATTTCATCAGAACTAGTATCCAAAGTTCACAAATGTGAGTATGATAATATAGTGATCTCAGATCACGCTCCATGTTGTCTGAGCTATTGTGATAAGAATCTCACCAGAGACCCCCCTAGATGGCGCTTTCAGCATAAGTGGTTGCAGGATGAGGACTTTGTTAAATATATTGGGATACAAATTGATGAGTTCTTCCAGATCAACACGAATCAAACGACAGCAAGCATCAGATGGGAAGCCTTCAAAGCGTTTATAAGAGGTCACATTATTAGCTTCACAGGCAATAAGTCAAAGGAAGCTAAGATTAGAAGACAGCAACTAGAAAATAAAATAAGGAACACTCAGGAGAGGGTTTTTCAAACAAATGATTCAGAGCAGAAAAAACAATTGTTGATCCTTAGAGCAGAATATGATAAACTGTCCAGTCTTAGAACTGCATCCAGTCTCTTAAGATTGAAACAAAACTTTTATGAACAGGGAGACAAGGCTGGAAAACTTTTGGCCTGGCAGATTAAAAAGCTTGAAGCGACAACTCCGATCACAACAATCGAAACCCAAGATAAAACATTAATAGATCCAAGGGACGTTAATAATGCTCTCAGAGATTATTATCAGAAACTATACGACACTCAAGGTAATCTAGACCACGAAGAATTGGATCAGTTTTTGAGAGGACTACATATCCCTGTCATCGCAGATGATAGTAGAGCAGACTTAAATATAGAAATAAATAAGGAAGAATTAACACAGGCCATAAAAGGAATGGCATCTGGTAAACAAGCAGGGCCAGATGGTATCCCCATCGACTTCTACAAAAAATTTAAGGAAAAATTGCTCTCTCCCCTTCTAAATATGTTTAAGGAATCTTTTATAAAAGGCACCCTGCCCCCCTCTTTGAATCAGGCTCTAATTATTCAGTTGCCAAAACCGGGAAAACCTCCCAATAAGTGTGAGAATCTGAGACCCATTAGCCTACTTAATGCCGATCTCAAAATTATCTGTAAAATACTGGCAATACGGTTGCGAAGAATTCTGCCGGACATAATAAACAAGGACCAAAATGGGTTTATAATGGGGAGGCAGGGATATCACAATATTAGAAGGGTCCTGAATATTGTGTGGCTCAAAAAGAATGCTAAAGACGCGGCTCTTCTCTCGCTGGATGCGGAGAAGGCTTTTGATAGGGTTGAATGGCCCTATCTCTTTAATATATTAGAAAGATTTAATTGTGGAAGTAATTTTATTAATTGGGTTAAAATATTATATAAAAATCCAACTGCAGAAATAGTATCAAATAAAATATTCTCAAGGCCGATTCAAATTAAGAAGGGCTGTCGCCAGGGATGCCCTCTCTCCCCCTTACTCTTCACACTAGCAATTGAACCCCTGGCATCAGCTATTCGCCTCCATCCACGAATCTCTGGGATTGTGGTGGGTCCCACTGAGCACAAAATTTCTTTGTTTGCTGATGATGTTATTTTATTTCTAACAGATCTGAAATATTCAATACCGGCGGTGGAGGGGGTGATTCAGGAATTTGGGAGAATCTCAGGTTACAAAGTAAACAATAGAAAATCTTCTATTCTGATATTAAATGGCGGTGAAAGGACTAATCCCACCAGGGAGATTAAGCACTTTAAAGTAGTGGAACATTTTGAATATTTAGGTGTTCAGATCTTCCCAGAATTACAACAGATAGTGAAATACAATTACGAGCACCTAATGAAAACAATAGCCACCTCATTTGACAACTGGACAACCTTGCCTCTGTCCATATTAGGAAGAGTTAATGTTCTGAAGATGAGTATACTTCCAAAGCTCTTATACCTCTTTCAGAGCATTCCCCTACCGCCTCCTCCTGAATTATTTAACTGGTTGAAAAAAAACATATTAGGCTTCATATGGAACAATGGAAGGTCCAGGATACGTCTTTCGTTGCTTTATTTACCATTTGACAGAGAGGGGTTAAAGTGCCCCAACTTTAAATGTTATTATTGGGCAACACAATTAAGGATGTTATGTTCTATTTTGCAGATAAAGGAAAACCTCATTGGGTAGAAATGGAATCCCATAATTTCAGTTTAGCTCTTCCATTGTTCATATATTCCGATACATCAAATAAACTACAGAAACACACTACAAATCCCATTCTGAAAAACATGATTAAAATTTGGCAGGAGGTTAAAAAATACCTTGAGGAGCCAGACGGGATATCCCAATTTAGCCCAATATGGGGTAATCAGCTATTTGCCCCAGGTAGGGCAGATGGAACCTTTCAGCTTTGGGCATTGCAAGGCTTAAAGAGTATTGGTGACCTTTACCCATCAAATTCGGATATATTTTCGTCATTCGGGGAGCTACAAACCAAACTGAGCCTAAACAAAAAGCATTATTTTAAGTTTCTTCAGATAAGAAGCTTTGTGAAAGCAAATAACAGTAATCTAAACAGGCCTCCCCTTACAACACTCGAAAAATTAATGACCCGGGATAATTTAAGAAAGGGTATAATTTCAGACCTTTATAAAGTGTTGCTCTCTTACTCAACAGAGAACTCAAATAAAAGGCTCATAAACTGGAATTTGGACCTATTATCAAATGTCAGTTTAGTTAGATGATTCAATTAATCAGATACTTTTAATTTTATCCATCTGTTAATTTTCTCAGTTTTATTTTATTTTTACAGCATTTAGACTTTAAGGTCCAGAAATGAAGCAGAAACTCACCAAAGACGTTGAGTCGACAATCTGCATTGTTGAATCCATCTTCAGTTTTCACGTCACACTGATACAGACCAGAGTCTTCAGTCCTCAGTCTGGACACATGGAGTCTGATTCGTCCTTCTTTGAGGACGTCTTTGTTGCTCTGGACTCGTCCTGAAAACTGTTTATCCTGAGACTCTGGAATCTCAACTCCTTCACGGACCCGATAGAGAACTAGTTCTTCATCAGGTCTCACCAAGCTGCAGATAATGAACAGATTCTTCCAGGTTCCCTGAGTCTTGGTGGTGAAGGTCCACTCCAGAGTGATGTTCTGCTTCTCCTCTGCCTGATAGCTGCTCTGTGTCACATTCACTACAAATGTTGCTGCTGAGGAGACAGAGAGGGAAAGAGAGGAGCAGACACACTGAGAACTGGAACATGGGAGTCTTTCAGCTCCATCTAGAGAGCTTTCTGTCACAAAGACAAGATGGAGACTGACCACAGAGACATGAGCTGAGGATGAGGAGCAGCAGGATGCTGGACATCATCTTCATCCTGAGAGAGGAAGAGGAGGAGATCATCTTCATCTGGTCAGAAAACTCCTCAATATTTAGCTGTAAAGAAAAAACAACAAATCTTCTCTTAAGCACCAATAAACAGCCCTGCACTGTTAAAATGTTAAAATAAGCAGAACTTTTCACTTGATGTTAGGAGAGATTTTTATCTGCAGATTGAACTTTTACTACAGATGATTAACATTCACTAAATAAATGCTATTATTGACTTTATGCAATAAAATGCTTTTTGGATTAAAGAGTATTGAATTGTTCATTGGCATGTAGTAATGTATTTATAATATTATATTAAATAAGTCAAAGAGGTGAAATAAAACATCTGCAGAATATGTCAATTTTTTTGTCTGTTGTCAGAATAATTAAAACCATCAATTATAGAAAAACATAATTCTTTTACAACTATACTGAACTGAACTACAGAACTGAACTGCTAAACTGAACTACTGAACTAAACTACTGAACTAATCTACAGAACTAAACTACTGAACCGAACTACCTGGATATCAGACTAAGTCTGGGTCTTGATGCGTATTTTAATTACACACAAGTTCATTAAATGTTAGTGTTGTTTTAAGATATAACCGCTATGCTGTGTAAACCCCCAGGAGAAAAGGAAGATAATTTTCTTTTCCTGGACAATAGCGTCACGTACCTTGATCTGCGACGGGCAGCAAACTGATCATCCAGAAGATGAGAACAAATCCCATGACGTTTGTCTGTCTGATAAAGAGCAGATTTCTGATTTTCTTTAAGTATTTTAATAAATGTTTGATCAGCACTGAAGCCTCTAAATGACCGAGATGAGATCGAGTCAAAGTGAGATTATAGTTTCTCTTTCACTTATGTGCACAGGGCGAGGACAGGTATTCAGCTCAGAGTCCAGGAAGCTTCAAAGCTTTAATATTGTTAAGGAAGTGAGATAACAGTCATATAGTCTATTAATTTATTATTTAATCCTCAGTTTATCCACTGAGACACAGATCATCAAGCTGCACGACAAAACATCCATACAACAAATTACAGAAACAGAACAAGTTCAGTTCAGATTCAAAAATAATTCATTGATCCTGAAGGGAAATTAAATGTTGTAACTGAAATGAATTCAGATTCTTCAAAAGTCATTATAGATCCTGATGGCAGAAAAACCTCCTGATTGTCTGTAACACAGTAAATGTGAAGATCTCTGTCTTCAGACTCATGAAGAGGATGATCAGGATTGTTCATCATTTTATTGATTTGATCAATAATCCTTCTTTACTTTGCCATCTGCAGAGGTCACACAGTTGTCCCCAGAACAGAACCAGAACTTTTTATCAGACTGTTGAGCCTTTTTAGTTCCTGCTCTGATGCTGCTGTTCCAACAGATGGCGCTCTCACCAACAGACTGAAAGGTCTGCAGTGTCCTAGTGCAAACCTTGAAGGGTTTTATTCAGTAAACTTTAACTATTTTATCATCTGGAGTAAAACTAGGACAGATAGAGGTGAGGAGGAAGAATCATATTTATATTTAGTTCTCAACCAGAGTGAGGAGAAGGAGGTAAAAACAAATCCCCAAAGGTCTGATGGAGAACAGCAGCAAAGAGCGCCATCTTGTGGTGAGAAAATCTCCATAGCAGGCATGAAACAAACCACAAAACTGAATGGGAGAAACTTCTTAGCAAGAAGTAATAATGGATGGAGTAACATCAGATCTAGTATCCAGATCTGATACATCTAATGTATCTATTGTTTTACACTTGTGCAAGTGTATTAATGAGTTTTATTATGTAACCAGGTTGCTGTGTATTGCAGACTTCTGCCCAGGAACCTCTTGAAAATGAGATCCAGATCTCAACTGGGTTTACCTGGTTAAATAAAGGAAATATATGATGATGATAATAATAATAATGTTACTAGATAGTAGTAACATTACTAGACATGTTACTAGATATATATGTTACATGTATCTAGTAACATACATGTATATGTGCCACATAGATGTAATACTTGTTAGAATAATTATGTTTTGTTATCATTGTTACATTGGTAGTTATAATAGATTTAGTATTCACATCCCTGAGAAAAGCTTTCATACTTGTTAGACTTTAGAGCTGCAGCCGCTTTTATCTTCGGGATACTCCTATCTGCCTCCCTCCACATTATTTTCTACTTTCTACTTTGTAATAAAAGAGAAAGCCTAACAAAGGGTCTTCAGAGCGCTCAGTGGACGGCTTGAAGCAGCATTTTGCTGGGTTCTCTCCTTTTGCAAAAGCTTTCATAAAATTCACTTACGTTGTCTGTTTGTTCTTTTATTTAGATTCGTAAATACCTGTCATCTGGTGCCGTGACCCGGATCTCTACGAGCCGTCGCTGACAGGCAGAGAGGACACGCTGAAAACCGTGCACGGCCAGAGTCAATAGGACCTGGAGAAAAAGACCCGGGAAGTGAATTCTTCGCCAGGCCAGCGACCTAGGTCCGAGTTTGTCTGCCGCGGGCGGGTTGACGAGATCCGACCGGACAAGACGAACCGACAGAAGCGTGAGTGGATAAGCGTTTTTTTTTCTTTTTCGGGTTCAAGTCCCAGTTGATGTTTATCAGCTAAACAGGTTGGGAGGCCTTGTCAGAACAACTTGACTAAAGTCCCAGAGGGACAGAATCCCTGTTGTCTCAACTAAAATCTACAAGAGAGGTGTTTTTAGAGCCCCTCTTTTAATGAGGACTTCCCATAAGGAAGAATCCTCGCACTGATAGGAAATTGTTTGTTGCTGCGATTTTTATTGCTGTTTTATTGTTGCTGCGATTTTCATTGCTGTGTCATTGCTGTTGTGTTTGTGTGTGTGTGTGTGTGTGTGTGTGTGTGTGTGTGTGTGTGTGTGTGTGCATACAAGAGTGAGTGGTGCTCATCTCTCTCTGTGAGTAAAACTTTCTGTCCTCGGAATTAGAATCCTAAGTGAAGAACCGGACTTAGGATTCTTCACTTCTAGACTGAGGCTAGTCTCAGTCTAGAAGCCTGTTCTTCAGGGAACACTAAGCTCTGACCTCCAGCACTTACTTGAGAGAGAGCACAAAATATCAAGTCACTTCTAAAGCTAAATTGCAGAGTACTTAAATAATGGGAAATAAAAAATTCTTGTAATTCCTCACTTGTTGAGGATCCCGCAGGGGATGAAAAGTACATGCTGTCCAGATTTCCTGGTAGCACAGTACACATGTCAAAATGGAAGAAGAAATATAAGATAGATGGGAAATTAAAAATTGAACAATGGCAAACAATAGTGGGAATATTAGAAAAAAGCATAGCTAGAAAAAAAAGGAAAAAAATGGAAGGAAGAGAGAAAGAAAGGAGGAAGAACTGAAATGTGCTAAACAATGGTTAGATGCAACTATAGAAAGATGAGAACAAATTAGAAAAAAAAACAAAGATAAATGGAGTAAAAGTGAGGAAGCCACTACTTTGTTTGTAAAGCCAGAAGATAACGAGCCCATATTAGGTGCAATGCAGGCCCCTCCTCCGCGCACACAGGCAGCGCTCCCCTCGGCTCCTCCAACTCTCACTCCTGCAAAATCCCCTGTCAGTTCCACAGTCAGTTCTCACTCCAAATACACTTTATCCACCTCTTCCTGTCTCCCCACCGTTGCTATATGAGAAGGAAGGAGCAGGTCCCAGTAATCAGGGACATTCATATAATCTCAGGCAGTACAAACAGCCAAAAGTTTTGAACAGCTTTGACGGTACAGAACAATATCCAATGATCCAGGTCCCAAACCCAAATCCTAGAGATGGCCAGTCACCACACATTTATGTTTTTAGACCCTGGACCTTAGAAGAAAGAATAACCTGTTGCAGAGGACCCCGATAAGCAGATAGAAGACATGGCTGGATTTATTCACTCATACAGACTAAATGGGGTAGAAGTAGGAGAAGCAGCCATGTCCTCATTAGGGAAAAATTGGGCAAAAGTAAGGGGAAATTATACAGGGAAAGCAACAGATGACAACAATTTTTTTTTCTTTTCAATGTATTGATTACTTGGTAGAACAATTATAAAATAAAGAAAATGACACCAACTTGATGTGATGATCCTTTGGCTGTATGTTTGGGGGGTCAGCGATCAGAGTTTTGGTACCGACCTGGACATTATCCAGCCTCATTTCTCACTTAGGCTTAAAATGAGAAGAGGGCTGCTCGCTGACTTCACACCTCAGCATTAGGATCAACAGACTTAAAGTAATTCATTGATCTCTGATAAGATGTTTACTCAGACTAAGTAAATTTGAACTTAAATTAACTTACATTCTACATTAAAATCTAACATGGCAAAGGATAACAGACTGTGGGTTTAACATGTTTCATTTTTATATGTGTTCGAATAAGTAAATGACTTATAACTTTTAAATAAAATGTTGGGTAATAAGAGGCTAAAACTATATAATCTAAAGAGAGAAAAGATATATAGATATGAAATATATATATATATATATATATATATATATTTAGAAATAAATAATAAAAAAAACACACAGAAAGAAAGACAAACTTTAATTGACTCCTATTTGCTTCTTTCTTTTTCCTCTGTCTGAGCCTCGCTGCGGTGCGTCTGACCTCTGACCTCAACTCAAACCTGTCTTGCCATGGCCGAGATGACATCCCTCCCCTGTCACCAGCTAATGACAGTGATCAAGAAGACAAAGAAGATCAGAAAGACAAAGAAGAGATCCTCTGATCCTAATTTCCTGACACCTGGGAACTGTCATTGAGCAACTACTGCATGGAGTCCTGCTGGACATTTGGACTGAAACTACATTCCTGTGTTTGGGTGCAACTGAACTCTCACAACCTCCGCTGGTCTTCTCCCTGACATCAGCCTGGAGAAGGAAGGATAATGTGCTTCAGAGACAACAAATTGAACCGTTTGACCCTTGTTTCATTTGTGGACAGCATGGACATTGAGTGAGGGACAGTCTGGGCAACTCAAAGATCCAATACAGAACCAGTTGGACTGACAGGAAACTGCAGAGAGAGAGGAGGAGAGGACCACGCTGCAGCGACGCCAGCAGCAGGAGGAGGAGGGAGAAGTGAGCTCATCCAAGATAAGTGTTATACACATACGCAGCTGTTATAAACTGCTACTGCAATGAAGACTTGCTTGCTTTATAACCCTGTTCACATATTATCTAGCCAGAAAATAAAGTCTTAACGGCTTTTATGTTCAATGATAGACAAATTCTCTCAGTTTGTCCCTTTTAACTCTGAGTCCTGAGCAGCAGGACCACTGCTAAGGACCCTGTTAGGGTCCATGAGTCACAGGTTGGGAAACCGTGAAGGGAAAACTGCAATCGCTAAAACTTCAGCAAAGAACTAACGGAAATTATGCCACTAAATTACACCAGCTAAAAATGATCAAAGATTCTAAGCTAATAATTATTTACAAAAGTTTTCTTTTTCTTTTTTTTTAGGACTATCTTGATAATACATGCTAGAGTGGATTTAAAATCAAATATCTCTGAATGTTAAAAATAAAATAAATAAATAAATAAATAAAAATAAGAAATAAATGAAATAATATTAATTTGAACAGTTATGAATCTACATTTTATTGAAATTGGTGAAGTGTTTCAGCAGGAGGAAATTCAGTTGTGGCTGGTTTCCAAACACATCAGAGATAGCTCTTAAAATGTATACATTACTTAAAAGGAGATTCTGACAACTAAAGATAAATATTAACACATTAAAAATGTTGTTAACAATAAAAGAAAATTCTTGAAGCTTCAGAAATCTTATAACCATTTGAGCAAAGGAAAACAATAAAAGCAGACTATAATTTTGTGGCTGAAAATCTGATTAATTTTCCTGTTTCTGTTTGTGTCACATTACGTTGATGGAAATGAGTGTGATTATGAGAACAAACAGACTGTACTCAAGAACTGAGTAACTGATCAAATTATTATTTAAATCATAAAAATTACATTGTCAACTGGTCTGAAATGCAAAGTTAAATTAAATTGTGATATTTTATCTAACTAGTTACTCCAAATTGATGTTTGTGAATGAACATAATGTTTTCTAGATAACGCTTAAAACCTTTAATCCAAGTTTGATTGATTGATGATCATTAAATTCACAAAGAAATATTGAATTAGAGGATTAAAAGAAGAAGAACAGGACAACATGGAACTGAAAACGTCCTAGAACAAGATGAAGAAGAACTAATAATAGATAAAACTAGTTTAGCAGACATGCCAGATGACGTTTTCCGCAGGCAGAAAAACGAATGCGGATAACTAAAGGTGCAAAATGAATGATGAGGAAATTTTTCAAGTCAATAACAAACCAGTTCTCCCAAAGTCTTTATCTAAAGCAGCCGCAATTGTGGCACATGGGCGATGCCATGTGTCAACAGGGGGAATGGTGGGGATAATACTACAGTATTTCACAACATATGGACTAAATTCTTATCTATAAAGTTTTGTTCTGCATGTCCAGTCTGTTAGACACAATCCACAAGGGAACATAAGGCCAAAAAGGGTTTTCCAAAACCTTCTTATCCATTTTAAACAATGCATATGGATTTTATTGAACTCACACAAAGTGGAACATGCAAATATTGTTTGGTAATTATTGATGCTTTTTCTAAATGGGTTGAAATAGTTCTAGCAAAGCATCCAGATGCTTTGACAGTAGCTAAAGCTATATGTAAAACTATTATTCCAACATCACAAACTATACTGAAAAGTAGATTAAAGAAAATGTATGGAACCAATTAAGACACCGTGGCCAGAATGTTTAGATTTGGTAAAGTTGTACACGAGAATTACACACACACAAGAAGGATTAACACCATTTGAAATAATTCATGAAAGACCATACAGATTACCAATATTTTCTCCAGATTTGCAACATGCAGATGAGGAGCAAACTGGCAGATTACATGATCAGGACTCTGAAACAGAAGGAGGTGTCAAATGCAAATTTACTGCCCTCTGACTCTCCTCTCCCGCAGGAAACCACTCCCACCAAGCCAGGAGACTGGTGTTTATCAAAGTCATAAAGAGGAAGAGCTGGGCCAGCCCGCGGTGGGAGGGACCATTCCAAGTGCTGATAACGACTCCAACTGCTGTAAAGATTGCTGAACCACCCAGCTGGATTCATCTCAGTCACTGTAAGCCTAGGTGGGAGCAGGTGGGAGTCCACCTTCACAGGGGTTTGGCTTTTTAGGATGCAAATAGAGACACGTCTGTTTGTCATCAGTGATGTTCCCCTGAGCACTCAGTGAACGGCTTGATGCAGCAGTTTGCTGGGTTCTCTCCTTTTGCAAAAGCTTTCATAAAATTCACTTACGTTGTCTGTTTGTTCTTTTATTTAGATTCATAAATACCTATCAATAATTTTTTTACATTAAAAAATGTATCTTAATTTTGGTGTATTGTTCAATTTATTTGACTCAACATAATATTTATTGATCCCAACTTAAATGTTGTTATAATTCATAACTACCTATAACTTTTACTTTTAATATAACTCATTAATGGCTTCATGTTTTGGTTTGTTTTTCCTTTGACTGGCTGCTAATAACAGGACAAACAGGTTGTCTTTGACAAAATGGCCGCTCTGCTTCCTCCTCCATATTAAACTAATTTGCATTTTGTACAGTCAAAACATCTCAGGCCACATATTGAACTTGGCTTGAATAAAACAAAATACAACAATGTTTTAAAGGGTTTTTATTTACAAGAGTCAAAGCTTAACATCAGTTTCAAATTAAACATGATAAAACATTTATTGATGCAAAAAACAAAAGCAAAGAATGGAAAACAGTAAAAAAAAAGTTTCTAATTATCTACAATTATTATTATTATTATTATTATTACTTTGCAAGAAAAACAACACACATTGTTACCTTTGACCTTTTCCCCGTGACGCATGACGCACTTGCCTCTCGCGCGGTGAGATAAGGCGGCTAACTGCGCAGCTCAAGCTAGCGAACGTTCAGATTACAAAACAGTTTTTGGTGAATTTGAAAAAAATAATTTTTGGTGAAAACATTGGAGTCGGCTTGCTACTGTCAGATAACGGAAAACGTTAAATGTTGTATCGTTTCTCCTTCAGCACGGAGTCGCGGTTTAAGCAGAAATGAAATATAACAAGACAGGCGGAGGAAAAGATAGGCGCTCTCTGAGTCCACCTTTCTCTGAATATTGTTGAAATAAGAATTTTAAAGTAGCACAATAGTACATAAGTTAACTTTTAGGTTAAGATAAACTTAGATACAAATCCAAACTGGGACAGCTGGTGACTCTTTGAACTTACATAAATTTCTAATCAGAAAGCAGTCTTATACTCCTTAAGGAACATTTCAGACAGGGAGTATATTGGCTATCAGGGCAATAAATTCTTTACTCAGGGTTGAATAGTTCAGGCAAACACTAAAAACTATAGAAGTCTGTTCCAACATATAATCAAACATATTGGTATATTTCTTTAAGCATTAAAAAGTATGTTTTTTAATTAGTTACTTATTAGATCCAAACTTATAGTCATTATTTAGCATTACATTTTGTGCAAGCTTGGTTAAAAATACAAACTACTTTCTTGTGGAAACATTTTGAGATAGAGATAGCGCTGCAGCTGCAATCATATATCAAACTGGACAGCGGCTGATACGAGAAGGGTTTGCCATATATCTGCCTTTGGGGCTCTTGAGCAGGAGGTAATAAAATTAACATTAAGACAGCCCACACAAAGGAAAAGAACACACCTCCTAATGCATATATTTAAATGAGGAGAATATGCAGTCTATAAAAATGGTTTGTTTCACAGCAGAAGTTTGAATCTCTTTGTGCTGAGTGAGAGTTTCCCGGAGGATGCATCTTCTGTTATTCTTTTGTCTTTTTTTACTCAGTTCTTTGTCTCTGTTTTGTAATGTCTTGGACTTTTGCTCTAGGTGAGATGCTTATTGTAAAGTTCTTCTTGAATTGAATTTCTCTGGATAAAACTCTGAAAATCTGAAGTCTGACGTCGTATGATTGCTCTTTTCTCTCTGCACACTTACACAGACACAGGAATTCGGGACAAAGAATTAATTAAAGAGCTAAATCAAGTTATTCCTCTTTTTAATTCTTAACAATATCTACTGAGCGGGAGGAGACAGACAGGTGAGGAAAAGCTGTTCTTATCTATCGATCCGGTATTTTTATCATCAGATATTACGCTGTTGTTGTTGTGCTATGAGCTAGCTGCTAGCTAATGAGTTTGCTAGCAAAGTAAGATAACTAAAGATTCCCTGTATTGTTAATAACAGTAGTCATTCTTCAGTATTATGCAATAAGGGCACATCGTCCGTCCAAAACCTATTATCTCCATCATGGATATATGTCTGATTTTCTAATTTTCTTTGGTGAATGATGTACATTACATTTATTCTAGCATTAGGTAAATGTATCTTGAAGGAAAATTTAAATAAAAGTCCAACAAGGATATTCATTTAGAATTAAAAATAACTCATCCTGAACTACCATGATAGATATAATGTATACAATAATCAAACTGCTTCTGTCCAATAAAAGCATGTCATTAATGAAGGGGCAAACATAAACTTTTATTTGCACACATCAGAAATCTTTGGTTTTGATTTTAGGCTCTCCCCAGACGTCATGTGAGAATCGCAAGCAAAACTTTGAATAGCAAGCAAAGATTTCTGACATGCGCAAATAAGTTTGTTTGTTTTGCAAATAAATTTTTTAAGTCATGAGATAAAAAATTGTGATTTCAGTTTTAAAAAAATTTAGTTAAACTTTTTTTTGTTGAAAAAATGTTACAATTCAAAATGTCTTGATCACAATTTTATTGAGGTTAGTATTTTAATAGAATAATTGTGAAACTAATTGAACTCCATAGGAGAGATCTCATTTTCTCTGAAATTAATATTGTTATGCTATGGACTGAAAAACATATTGGTTTAAACACCAGGGTAAAGAATTGTTAGTGTGGTTTATTATAGTGTTCTGATCATAATTCTTTGTTTTGCTTTTTTCAGTTCAAAGACGCACGTAAAGAGAGACGTCAGAAAAAAAAAAAAGGATCTGCTAGAAACAGCGAAAGGTAGTGGATTCTTGACCAACTGTACCAATCATTCACAGTGAGGTTATTAACATTCTTCAAGACATGACCAACAGAAAACTGTTGCTATGAACAAAAGAGAAGAAAAATAGCAAAACATGCTTAAAAGTTTGAAATTTGTTTTTAAACAGTCAAAAGGCAAGAGACTGAAATAAATAAGACTTCACTCAACACAGAGAAGATGAGACAATGAGGAAAAAAAGAAAAGAGAAACTGACTAGAAAAAAAGAGGAAAGATTGAAGAAAATGAACATAGGTACTTACAAAATACACTAAAACACAATTAGAGTAGTATTTTCTCATAGTGACATGCATTAATTACATTTTTGCTTTTGTTTTTTTTCTGTAGTTCCACCTTAAAGTTTGATGCAGCTCTGTTTTTCTGAATGGACCGTCTTTATCTCCACTGCAAGTACAGCAACCCAGGCAGATGTTCTTTGATTGTATGTCTCACAATTTTGTAATCTATCATTGTTAATTAAACTCTGAAAGCTGTGTGACTTTGTTAATATTCTGTCCTAAAATGCTGTTAGATGTGCCCTTTTTTTGAGCACCTGCCCCTTTAGTGGTCTCTGCACGGCCCTGCTTTAAACATTCGTTTACTCCAAGCATTCACATAAACAATGAGTTGAAAATTATCTTTCCATCAAGCACAGAACATACATTATTAAAACACCACAAAGATATAAATTTATTTAAATTATTCATCATTGAAAAAAACCGAAACTCCGCCTTAACTCTATTTTTCACCATTAGAATAAACATTTTAACAACTTTTTTCCCCCAAAACTCCATTTATTTTATTTCTTCTACTAATGTAAATGGAAAACTTTGCCTGTCCAACAAGAAAGTTTAACAAATTCCACTTACTAGAATCTTTTTTTGTATACCCTGTGCCAAATATAAAAGCTATTCCAGACCAATAAACACAGCATTTCTTAAAGACATCTTCCAAAAAAATAAACAATGGTGAAAGTTGATTACAATCAAGAAACTTGAAAAACAGTTTCAATTTTTTTACAAAAAGGGGATAATATATTTATATCACTTCTAATTTTAACTAAAAAACTGTTTACACTTACAGCACCAGGCAAAATCCTCCATTGAAGGTCGCTGACCCTCTTATTCAATGGAGGTTTATAAAAAACTCTCCATATTGGTTTCTGATTATCTCTGACTTTAAACCATTCTCTCCAAACAGTATCAGTTCTTCCACTTAGTTGTTTCTTATTCAACCCTTGAACAGTCCATTGATACAAACATTTTCCATTTAACACATAAAACATAAAATCCCAGACCAAGGTTAGCTTTGTTCTTTAATAACTGAAATCATTTGAAAACTACATATTGCATTTATTCCGGTCGTCTTTGTCCATCATAAAATTTTATGCCATTGTTATCACACTAAGGTCTCACTAATCACATGCAGAAGGCTAAAAGATGCTGGAAAGGTTGCCAGTCCATCACAGGGCGACAGATACACACGAGTCATGAAATCCTCCATGCACATACACACATATAGGCCGTTTACAGCAGAGCAGCTCATTGACCCAACATTCATATTTTGGACTGAGGAAGGAAGTCAGGGACCCATAACTTCTTTATAAAGTTAAAGAATATTTTAATAATTATTCTATATTTAGAATACTTCTATAAAATATGATTAGAAATATTTAAAAATGTAATATTTATTTAATTAATTGATATTAAACAGCATCTGTCACCCCATAGCATACAGAACAAATGTTATGGTAAAGTTTTCTTGTTGACAGGTGAAACTGCCAACATCAACTCAATGCAACCAATAAGAAACAACAACAAACATAATAAAGCTATAAATGTTGTTTGCTAAGTTTTCTTGACAAGCAGCTAAAAAAGAAGTTTGAAGTTAAAAAGCAGAGATAAAAATCGGACTGAGTTTCAGAACCGTCGGTTTGTTTCTTCACCTTCTGAGGGTTTTCTCCAAACCAAATGTTGGCTCCAAACATGCATGTTTAGACAGCTTATAAATTCAATAACTCCAAATGTCAGCAATATTTTATTCAAGCTTTAAAAAATGATGGACTACTGGAGGTAAATGTATTGATTATTTTGACTGTATTGATCCAGTATTGGTCTGTCTGGTTTCAGAACAGGAAAACACAACGATACTCTGACCCAAGATAATGGACGGTACTGGTTCTGTTAGATCCTTGTGTCTGTCCAGTACAGACTCGTGTACTGGTTTTGATCCAGTAGATCATAATAATTGTTGTTTTGAGAGCTTTGTGTCATTTTCTCACAGAGAGCTGACTTCTGGTTCTGGTTCGTTGCTGTTGCAGTTCGTTTGGGTGCTTTCCCTACTTGAGGCCACTCCTGCACAGGAGGAGTTTGAGTTTCCGACATTAACTGTCTGTCACGGGCTGTTGAAATCTATAAACAGGTGAGCAGATGGAAGTGAATTATTATCGGTGTTTTATGTTCCTGAGTGTATAAAAATAAATAGAAAGAAAGAAAGGAAGAAAGAGAGGGAGGGAGGGAGGGAGAGAAAGAAAGAAAGAAAGAAAGAAAGAAAGAAAGAAAGAAAGAAAGAAAGAAAGAAAGAAAGAAAGAAAGAAGAAAGAAAGAAAGAAAGAAAGAAAGAAAAAGAATCAGATTTTATCTTGTTTTTGTGGTTTTCAAGGTTCCTACCAGTATTTGACCACTAGATGGCAGCAGAGTGTAGAACATCTCAGACTGAATAAATTGTTTATTAATTCTGCTGAATTGAACTTCAGGTAAATTGTGAACATTTTATCTCTTAAGTTGAAGAAAACCATTGATTGTGAGAAAGTGATGATTGGTTCATGGAGTCGGCAGGTTTATTGATCCTCTGGGTTGATTAGAGACATTGTTACCTTTAACTCGGTGATGATTGGTGGTAAAAACATTGGGTGGTAAGTATCCTATCAGATTAATGCTTCAAAAAGTGTGAAGGACTGATCTGGTGTTGATGCAAAGATTACATGGGGTCATAGGTCATAAAGGTTAATGCCTTACACTGCACACACCCAAACAGAAAACAAATCAGAACTATTTAACATTTTTAGCCGGATTGTGGTTGAGTTTGTTTCAATGTCAACGTTTCAACAGGAGTTTATGCAACCGATGGAAAAATAATATGGCCTTTCAGGTTTATGTTTAAACTCTGATCACCTGCAGGCTCAAACCTGCAGGACTCCCTGAGGCGCTTTGACAAGTAAAACAAAGGCTCCTTTTATTCCACTGGAGTCAAACTGCAGTCCTGAAGGGCCTGAAATCTTTAGATGAGCCTCTGCTGCACCACCTGAATATGATCATCAGCTCATTAAGTCTCTGGAGATCTGATCCACACAAGGAGGAGGAAATGAAGCCATTTCATGCCAGTGTTTCGTATCCGTGGCTCATGTAGAAACTGCAGGACATCTGGAGGACTGGAGTTTAAGATCCTGCTGTAGACAGAACAAACTCCTCACTGATACGACACCAGCACTGACTCATCAATGTTCCAGCAAGAACTCCATTTGGAAAATATGTTTGGTTTTATTTATCTTACAACTTCTGAGTTTAATGATGTTTGTGTGAATAAACCTCACCACTCTAATAATGCTTGAAACAGCAACCCAACTTCAAAATAGTGGCCGTTTTTTAATGTGATGCTAATTTAAGCTGTATTTACCCACAGGCAGACATTAGATGTCTCTCTGTGGACGGTCCAATGTCTCTCTGTGGACAGTCTAATGTCTCTCTGTGGACAGTCTGATGTCTCTCTGTGGACGACTTAATGTCTCTCTGTGGACAGTCTAATGTCTCTCTGTGGACAGTCTAATGTCTCTCTGTGGACGACTTAATGTCTCTCTGTGGACGGTCTAATGTCTCTCTGTGGACGGTCTAATGTCTCTCTGTGGACGGTCCAATGTCTCTCTGTGGACGGTCTGATGTCTCTCTGTGGACGGTCTGATGTCTCATGCCACAGGACGCGCCACACAGGCATGTTAATGAAAGTAAGAAGTTGTTCCTGGATTGTGCATCTACAGACCTGCCTTGTTCCTGCACTTAAATCCCATTAAATCCCATTAAATCCCATTAAATCCCATTAAATCCCATTAAATCCCATTAAATCCCAGTACTTCAGGCGATTAGTGTGTAAGAAGTGTTACATGCTACGCTTTGTTTGTTAAAGATCATTTAATGTCAGTTCTCTTTCACCTGTGTCACTGCCTTTTGACCTCACTATTATCCACTTAGCCAAATCATAACACTTTAAGTACCTTGAGATTATTACAGATAAACTAAACTGTAGTTAAAAGCTTTAACTCTGTCAACATGTCTGGCATCTTATCAGCCCGACTAAAGGAAAACCAGAACGTTTCTGATAAAGTTTAGATGATCTGTGATCATGTTTGCTTCGGATCAGTGAAATCAGTCTGTTTTCCTACAAGTGTTAATCTTTCAAATGCATTTCAGTAATAAATGATCGTTTATTTAATATCAGATGAAAAGTAAATGTGAACTTTGTTGATAACTTTGTGCACATTCAGTATTATTTACTAAAACAAACTAAGCTTGCACTTACACTGGTTTCAATATCAAGTACATATTAGACAAACCAACAAATTATTTTGTTTTTATGGTGAGGAGAGAAAAAAAACTGGATAACTGAGGAATTAAACAGAGAAAAAACCAAAGCAAAGAAAAACAGAAACAAAACAAACAACCCAGGATCCAGACACCCTCATTTTATTTTATTTTTTTACATTTTAGTTGAAATAAAAACATTTAAAACAAATTACAAAACAATCTCTTAATACTGTGAACATATAAGTGCAAAAGGATGCTGAGCCGGCACAAGGCAAAAGCAAATAAAGTATCTACTTGAGGCTTCAGCTGAAGTTCAAGAAAAAATGTTTCTAACTGCATTTAATGAATTATAAGCAGCACATCTGTTAACATCTGTTAACTGACTGCAGACTCTGTCAAAGCCAGTAGTTTATGTAACAAAGAGAAAAAGGCGAAAGGGGAGCAGCTTTAAAAGTTCCTATCAGTTTGTTACATCAGTTTATGCATAAGGAGTAAAGATTATTGCTCTAAAAATACAAAATCAATCATAAGCTTTTTCTACAGCTGTGCAAATACTATAAGAAAAACAAATGATTGCTCCACACATGATTTTAACATGTAATAATGATTATATGTATTTTGTTCTTCATCAAATCAGATTGAAATATTTGTGTAGCTGAACTGGAAGCTGCAACATGATGATCTGATAACATGGAGACAGAACAAATATTTATTTATACATATTTATCTATAAAATATAGCTGAGATATTCTTCTGCAATGTTTCCATATATATGGTTGTGGAACTTAAAATATTTACATTTATATTTCAGATTAACACAATGAGTCAGAATGACATGAATAACTATTAAATGAAACTGTTTTGCTGTTTATATTAAAGTTCATGTCAAACTTATGAAAGTTGCTAAACGTCCCAAAGTTCCTACTTTTTAACTTAGACTCAGACTTGTACTTTATTGATCCCTTGGGAAGACTCCCTCAGGAAATTAAGGATTTAACAAATTGTTAACTAACAAGCTGTTTAAAGATTCCCATTATTTAAATTTTATGAAATCAGATGAAAATACTATATTGATCTGTTTTGAATGGGAGAATAAATCACATTCCTCTATAACTTTAAGATTCTTCATCGTATTTTTCTTTTTGCTTCAACATACAGATGATACATTTTCTTGCCTTCATTGTCTTCAGTTCACCAAAAGGTGATCAGAAGTTTTTCCTTTTCATATCAGTCTTGGCTACAAGAAAAAAGATCAGCAGTTAAAAACATGTAAGATATTTGGAAATTTAATAAATTACTTCAATAATTAACAGATGGTAGCATGTTGAATTACTTTCCCATGAACTCAGCCAGAGGGCGCTAAAGTTTACTAACGTTTACATTTCATTTGTCTTTTGCCTTCATTAAAACCTCCATTACCACTAAAGTCACCAGATTAGAACCAGATTCAACATCTTTACCTCGTTGATTGTCTTGTTTTATTTCAACACAAGACAAAAACACAGCCAGAAAAATTACATTCCTAAGACCTTCAACATTTTAGAGAAGATTAAAAACACAATGAACTTCATTTCAGGACAGCTTGGCTGGAGCAAAGAGAGCTGCTCCAGAGAGAGTGGGGGCGTTTAAAGGAATGTGTGTGTGTGTGTGTGTGTGTGTGTGTGTGTGTGTGTGTGTGTGTGTGTGTGTGTGTGTGTGTGTGTGTGTGTGGGGGGGGTGAGACAGAAAGAGAGAGAGAGATGGAAACCTATTTCAACAATAAACTGAACTCCCCACACTGTTTGATAAATGGGATCAATTGTAATGACTGTGACAGAATAAAAAATATTTTTGTAAAGTGAGTCAGGATGACATTAGATGTGAATTGGTGGTGTAGAAAATAAACTGAATTGAACTGAAAAGTAACTGAATGTTAAGCAATTGGGAAAGCAACAGCAAAATATTCACAGATGTAATTACAAAATGTAGTTAAATATATCAATAAAACGTATATATACCACAATGTGGTATATATTTATAAGTTATGTATTGCTCTGATGAAATGAATGTTTGACCAGAATCACATCTCACTTTATTTTGAAAATCTTGTTCTCTCCTCGCCCTTCCTTTGACTCTCTATAACTGTGTCCACATTGCCAAAACCTCCAGCTGCTCTGTTTATCAGAGTCACTGAGAGGAGAGCAGAAACTAAAGATTTGCTTTCTGAGCAGAGGCCAAATGAGTGCCAGCTGTTTCTCAAAGTTACTTTTATTTTAGAATAGCTTCAGTAAAACTCCTGGATATTCCAGGGTAACAGAATCAGAGATAAATTAGGACAGAAAACAGTTTCACAAGAATTTTAAATTTGATAAACCATCACTGGAATATTTTAAAAACTCACCTCGAGCCCATTTACGGTACGTGTAAATACACAAGATTAGTATGAAGTTGTAGAGGATGAAGAGGAGGAGGCCACAAATCACTCTTTTCCAAATAAAACCAGGACCAGTACCAGGAGGAGGAGAAGGAGAAGGACGAGGAGGAGGAGAAGTTTTCTGCTTGGACAACTCTAGCTGCAAGCAAAAAAAAATTTAATTAAATATTTTATTTAATTTGTGGCAAACAAAAGCTATAAAATGTTCAATCACAATACAAAATGGAAGAACCAGAATCAGGTTCATCCAGTGGGTTTGTGGACCAGTCCTGAAGAACTGCGGTTCTGAAAGTGCCTGGCTGTCAGTCGCTCTGAACAGAGAAGATTAAAACTCTAATGATCTGAACTAGAGTTTTAATCGAGC